CGGTCCTGGTAGAGAAAGCAGAATTAACATTTCAGGTCCGGTCCGGTCCGGTGAACCTGCTGAGTTTTTCCAGCAATTTCTGTTTTTGTTCCTAATCACCTGTGTTTGACTTGAATTTGCCATGAGGATGTAACTAGTAAAATAGATTTAAGGAGAACCCGTGGATGTGGCATATTGGGATTTTCAGAAAGATTTTGATAAGGTCCTTCATAAGAGGCTAGTGGCAAAGTTAAAGCAAATAAGTTAGGGGGCAATACATCAGCATGGATTGAGGTTTGGTTGACAAACTGGAAAAAGAGTGGGAATAAATGGATCATTTTCCAAGTGGTAATCAGTGACTAGTGGGATACTGCTGGGATCAATGGTTGGGCCCCAGATAGCCATGATACACATAAATGACCTGGATGAGGGTACCAAATGCTACAATACAGAGTTTGCTGATGACACAAAACTGGGTGGGATTGTGTATTGCAAGGAGGCTTCAACGAGATTTAAACAAGTTGGAAAGACATTGGCACATACAGTACAACTTGGATAAAAGTTAACTTATACATTTAGGTGTAAAAAAAAGTGTTACTTAAATGGTGATATATTGGGAAGTGTGATATACAGAGATCTGAGTGACCTTGTAAATGGGTACATTTGCCTGTGTTGCAAAAGGATTTGAGTTGAGAACTATGGCTGTCTTACTGCATTATTCAGGGCCTTGGTGAGACAATACTTGGAGAATTGCGTGCAATTCTGGTCTCTCTACGCAAGAAAGGATATTCTTACCATAGAGGGAGTGCAATGGAGGTCCACTTCGCTGATACCTGGGATGACAGGACTGTTCTTCGAGGAGAAATTGGTTCAACTAGGCCTGCATTCACTACAGTTTGGAAGGATGAGAGGGGATCTGATTGAAACATAAAATTCTAACAGGGCTGGATGGACTAGATGCAGGTAGAGATAACAAAGTATGGAGCTGGAGGAACACAGCAGGTCAGGCAGCATCAGAGGAACGGGAAAGCTGACGTTTCGGGTCAGGACCCTTCTTCAGAAATGGGGAGGGGGAAGGGAGCTCAAATAAATAGACAGGAGAGGTGGGGCTGGGGAAGGTAGGTGGGATGGTGATAGATGAGTGCAGGTAGGGAGTGCTGGGGATTCATCAGTAAGGTGGGAGGAGTAGATAGGTGGGAGAGAAGATGGACAGGTTGTGTCTGGTCAAGGAGGCGGGGATGAGAGAGAGGGTTGGACATGGCATCAGGACAGGGGTGGGGAGATATTGAAACTGGTAAAATCCACCTTTAGGCCATCGGACTGTAAGCTCCTGAGGCAGAATATAAGGTGCTGCTCCTCCAGTTTACGGGTGACGTTATTGTGACACTGGAGGAGGCCCAGAATGGACATGTCACCCAAGGAAGGGAGTTAAAATAGTTCACAACTGGAAGGTGTTGTTTGTCATGTACAGAGTGCAGGTGCTGTACAAAATGGTCTCCGACCCTCGCTTGGTCTCACCGATGTAGAGGAGGCCACATCGGGAGCATTGGATGATCAAGTTGACGAATGTGCAGGTGAACCCATGACTGATGTCAAAGGTTTGTTTTTTGCCTTGAATGGAGGTGAGGGGGGAGGTATAGGGGCAGGTGTAGCACTTCCTCCCGTTGCAGGGAAAGGTGCCAAACGTGGTGGAGTTAGTGGGGAGTGGCATACAGCACAGTCCCTACGAAAGGCAGGTGGGGTGGGGAGGGTAATATATCTTTGGTTGTGGGTTCGGATCGTAGGTGGCGGAAGTGGCAGAGAATGATATGTTGGATGCGGAGGTTGGTGGGGTGATATGTGAGGACAAGGTGGATTCTGTCTTTATTTTTGTTTTTGTTTTTGTTGGGGGGAGAGGATGTGATGACAGAGGTGTGGGAAACGCAAGAGCTGTGTTTGAGGGCATTTTCAATCACCGGAGGGGGAAGTCATGGTCCTTGAAATAAGAGGTCATCTGGAATGTGTGGGAGTGTAATGCTCCATCTTGGGAGCAGACGCGGCGGAGGCAGAGGAATTGGGAGTAGGAGATCACATTCTTGCAGGAGGACAGGTGAGAGGAGGTGTAATCTAGGTAGCTGTGGGAGTCGGTGGGCTTAAAATAGATATTGGTTATGAGGCGGTCATCAGAGATGAAGATGGAGAGGTCCAGGAAGAAGAAGGAGGTATCAGAGGTGGTCCAGGTGAATCTGAGGTTGGGGTGAAAAGAGATAGTAGAGCTGATGACTGTTCAAGCTCCTCGTGGGAGCATGAGGCAGCGCCGATACAGTCACTGATGTAGCGGAGGAAGAGGTGGGGGCTAGTGCCAGTGTAGCTGCAGAAGAGGGACTGTTCCACATATCCTACGAAGAGGCAGACATAGCTTGGGCCCATGCGGGTGCCCGTGGCCACCCCCGTCATCTGTAGGAAGTGGGAGGAGTTGAAGGAGAAGTTGTTAAGGGTAAGGACGAGTTCAGTTAAGTGAATTAGGGTGTGGTGGAGGGGACTGGTTGGGCCTGCAGTAGAGTAAGAAGTGGAGGCCTTTTAGGCCATCTGTGTGGGGGATACAAGTACAGAGGGACTGGACGTCCGTAGTGAAGATGAGGCACTGGGGGCTAGGGAACCGGAAGTCCTGGAGGAGGCGGAGGGCGTGGCCAGTGTCCCGGCCATAGGTGGGGAGTTCCTAGA